ACAACGAAGCAAAACAACCCCAAATACGAGGGCAACAAAAGCAAAAACAACAATGACAGTCAAACAATGCAAAATCAATTTAAATTTCCATCTCATACTCTTTCTCATACACACACACACACACACACCCTGAAATGTATAAAAAAAAAAGACACGAAATGGGTGAGAAAATCAGTAAAGCAACCGCAATCTTTTACCAAATTGTTGTGCCATGTGTGTGTGTGTGAGTGTGTGTGTGTGTGTGTGTATAGGGTGAGTGTGTGAGTGTAAGGGTGTCACTTGCGCTACCGCCACGCAACTCAATCATAAGTAAATATTACACAGACACACACGCAAGCGATTGCTGAAATAAAAAAAAAAAAAGAGAGAAGCGCAAGCAGCGACAGGATCGCATGGAGCAGTCAGTGGCAAGTTTATTATGCCCTCGGGTAAAATATAAAGAGGCATGCATGGAGGGGCTGGCAAGTTGGCAGGCAAGCATCGGGTTGGCAGGCGAAACACGTTCTAATAGATTTCCAGCCTTTCGCCTTTTGACGCCGTCGACGTTTCGACGTCTTCGATGTTGGCAGCCCGTACAAGTTACACATGTTGCTTTTGTTTGGCTTCCTGTCACACACACACACGCAATCACACACACACACACATGTATGCATTCGACATGACATTTGCTGGGCGCTGCCTCAATTTAAGACCGTAAATCCTTTATTCAATTTTTAGCCATGAACGCCCAAAAGTATGCAGCGCGATAAGCGCGTCACAAGCAAATCCCAAGGATTTTGTGCATAAATACGCATTGATTAAGTAGAACTTCGCTGCCAAAGGGCATATAAATCAGAAAGGATATATATTCTTATAGAAATATATGTACATATTTACATATATATCGACGGCTCTCTATGCAAATCGATGGCAATTGACGGGGTGGCTAGCAAATATGAAAATTATGCCACTGGCATCGAAAAGCGGTAACAATGAATGTGAAGGTCCACTTGCCGTCACGTAATGAATGGAAAACGAGAACGAGCTGCAATTGACAGGCAAACGTTGATACGCATTGATGAAAGGAAGCCAGAGAGAGAAGGCGAGAGGATGAAAAGGGAGAGACGCAATGGCGGCGACGGCAACGGCGACGGCGACGGCGACGGCGACGATGGCGACGACTATGGCAGCCGGAAGCTGGCACACAACTAATTGGACATCCGTTTTCCGTGCGATTATCGGCTCCGGCACGGGCCCCAAGGTAAGTTAAGTATTTCTATTTTACTGCTGTAAATTTGTGCCACGTTATTAACGCCACTTTGAGTGCTCGGCACGGCGCTGCGTGGCCACCAGGAAGTGACGCTAAAAGGTCGACCAGCATACAGACCCACTGCTACTGTTATAGCAATGTAGAATTCATCTACAACTTGCCACTCTCTGGCTCTGGCTCTGTCACTGCCATACACACACCTTCAATAGCTTCAGCTTAAGCTCTGCCAGCTCGCTTCCATTATTTCCGCGCTGGGCCTCCGTAGACCCGGCACAGGGGCCACGTGCAATTGTCGGTGTCGTTGGCTTTATTTAATTGAAGTCAATTACACAGCTGGATATGCCAGAGTAGACAGACAGCGTCTTCAGCAAGCAGCTAGCTGCTAGCAGCTGGCAGCCTCATTAGATCAATGTGATGTCAATGCCAACATTGACAACGTCCATGTCCAGTTAATAAACGTTGCCCGTTGCGATGAAAATTGCCCCTGAGCTTTTGTTATTTTCTTTTTCCAGCACAAATCGCATGTGTTAAACTTTTAAGTGCACTGCCGGGGCTGCCGCTTAAGCCGCTTAGCCGGGGTCTTACACAGTGATGACAACAAAGACTTGACAAGATCAATGGGCTTTAGGGCACAGTCAAAAGTTTCCCAACCACTTCAAAAGCTGCCTTTCAAGTGGTGTGCACTGATTGTTTGCCACCTGATTTCAAGTTATCCATTCAGACTTTCATTAACAGAAGCACCGCACGTGCATTTACCCACCACAATCACCCCCACCCCTACCCCACCCCAACTCCACCCGCATACCATCTAAGTGTAGCGCCTTTCATAAGCACGCTGGTGTAGACGGAACTTAAGCTAAATTAAGTTTTCATAATTCCTAATAATCTATTCAAGTAAGTTTTCAATAATGTTTGTTCACTTCTCTGTCGAATCAGGTGACGAACTGAAACTGCCGGCGAAGCTGGTTTGAGTTCCGTTCCCAGTGGTTTTGGCACCTTTGGAGCCCGGTTCGTGGTGGCTGTCAGCTTTTGTTGTTTTCCCTGCAAATTGGATTTGAAAATTTTCCAAGATTTGAATGTCAGATATCTGGCAACTTATTAGATGAGGATATATACAAAATACGGCTCAAACAAATGCAGCTTCATTAACGGAATACGCAAAAGTTTTGCGGTGCGCATGTTAAACACTGCAAAGAATTATATACTAATTAAGAAGAGAAAATAAATGCAAAAACTATAATCGAATAAAAATTGAATTGTAATTGGCCCAATCGAATCGATAATTTGCTGTAAAGATAAAGATTTTCTTTTTTTTGCGTACCATCGATACTATTGAAAGCCCGATAAGATATTATTGAAGGGAAAAGTACAGTTTTTTGCAGAAAATTAAAATTCTAAAACAAAATTTGTTAAAAATGTTTTCCATACTTTTCGTTACTGATATTTGCAGGCCACGCAATTTCTTGCAGTGTAATAGCTTTGAGAAACTTTCAGCGCCAACTATTGTTGGAAAGTTTTCAATTGAGAATATTAATTTAGTCAATACATGTGGGCGAAATGCGCAAAGACGAAAGTGCCAACCACAACAACAAAACTCAAACAAACGTTAAAAGTTTTGCGGTTACGCAACACAAATCCGAAGAGGCCAAGCGTCAGCAGCTTAACAGCTCAGGTACTGGGCCAGGAGCTTAAGGCGACAACGCGCCGGCATAATGTGGTTTTTGTGGGGTAATTTCTATTAGGCAAGTTGTTGTTGCATGTATAATCAAGACTTTGCTCCCTGCCTGACCTTAAGTCGCCAACTTCCCACTCACACACACACACACACACACGCACACACACACAATCAAACACTTTGCCCAATTAGCATTGTATCTAACGCAATTGGCTGTGGGCCATGCTTTGTTGTGGTCACATTCCATAGAGTAGCATCAAGTACCTTTGCCGCACAAATTAAGGCAGCACACACACACACACACACACACAAATACATGCATAAATATATATTTGTATGTAATTGTATGTATATAGATATATATATATATATACACATATACGCTTAGAAGTTGCTGGTAATTTATAAAAATAATTCGGTCAGTTGTCACTTTGATGTGACCAAAAAATGTTTGCAACACTTGTTTGGCCGCGAGCGCAGATTCCCCATTTCACCCATTTCACTCATACCCCAAATTACCCTCATTCACATTCACTACACACACTGGCTGGTGCGCCCGTCTGTCTGTGTGTACATATGTATGTATATGGATAAGAGAGCTCTTCCTGCTGGGAATTAGCATACAGACTGCATCTCTCCAGACTCGGTGCGTTCGTACAACTCATGTTATGAACATCATCATCATCGGCCCCAGGGGCAGCACCAGCTGTTGTGCCCAACTGCCACTAACCCTTCCCCATCATCAATGAGTCAGCACCCGCTACCATGCCCCAAACACAAGAACCTTTAGATTTGTGTCCGAAAAATGTTTTTCTGCCATTTGCATGGAAAACCGAACGCCAAACGTCGTCATGGTCATCGCCAATGGTGAGTACTGTACAACATTCAAAGTCCATTCAATCACACATATGCAGGGTACAATGCAGAGAGAGCAAGACCTGCTACCTGAACGACCAGCCAGCCAACTATCCATTCTTGTCTTTGCCCAGAGGTAACAACTGTTCGTTGCAGAAGCCTCTCTTGCTTTGTTTCATTTGAAACGAGTTTGTATGTATGCGTACCTGTGTGTGAATGTGTGTGTGTGTGTATGTGTGTGTGCGAATATGTGTGTGTGTGTGTGTGTGGGCATAGACGGAGGTAGCAACGCAGCTTGTTTCCGGCACGGTACGTAAAACAACACGACTAAGGAAAGCAAGACGGCGCCTGCAGTGAATTGAACTTTTGCATTTCACGTGAAACGTTCAAACACAGCACGAAAAAGTTCCAACAACAACCAAACATGTAGCAGGAACAGCAATAACTGAAACGAAATGGAAATTTTCAAACAAAAGCAGCAAAAAAATATGGAGAACGAAGTTCTACTCTCAAAATGCGAGTGAGTTCTTGATTTTTTGTGTTTAGGCAATGCCCAAAAAAAAAAAATAATTCACTTTTCTGTGTAAGTTTTTGCAGCTCAACTGGCGTTATTATCAAATTGCTTTCATACACACACCCACTTAACGATGGGCTCCAAGTTCAATTAAAATCAAATCAAAACTCCAATTCAGAAATGGGCTAAGTGTTTACTAACAATAAGTCAAGAATGTATATTTCAGGCTCTTTGGGTTCGAGAGAAAGCTTTTCCTAAAATACAAAAGGCTTAAATTTGTAAAATAAACGCGAAGCGGGTGAACTTATCGATAAAATGAAATAAGTTCATACTACATATGATATATTTACCACTTAAGCCACGTATACTAGCAAAGTAAACACAATAACTGAATGCTTTATCAATTCCAACTAATTGCAAGCAAATAATAATATTGAGTACTTAATTACTCAAGCGCACGCCAAACAAATTCATTCAGCCGATGAATCACTGAAAGCACTCCCTGCCAAGACAATATAGATCGCCTTCGATTTCTTGACTCATACATTAGATCCATCTATCACCCTGATAAGATTTAATACGACACACCAATTATAGTTCATTCAATCAAAATGGCTCAATGGCGATGTTTAGATTGCAAATGACTATAAAAGTCAAAGCGTGCGAACCACTTCCCAAAGATATATTTCTACAATTAACCATTCGACATGATTGCAAAGGTTTTCCTACTAACTCTCCTGGTGGCCGTCGCCAGTGCCACACCTGTGACCCAGGACACGAGCATGGTCGGCTATCGTGAGGCGATGGACATGTTCCTTGATGCCTGGAAGAAGATGATTCCCTGTGGCTTTCCTTCCGAAAATATTCCAGTTCTTGCTCCATTGACCACTGACTTCTACGCCTTCAACTACAACAACGGAGAGACCAACCTGGTTGGCAATGTGAGCAACATCCGCATCTCGGGTCTGAACAACTTCCAGGTGCTGAGTGGCAGTTACGATCCCACCACCCTCCGCGCCACCTTTGACGTGTTGTTCCCAGAGCTGCAGATTCTGGGCTCCTATGAAGTTGAGGGAACAGTCGGTATTGGTGGCCTCCCTTTGCCCATCCGCCAGAGCGTTCTGATCAACAAGAAACTGTCAGACTGGCGTTTCGTTGGCGATTACACCTTTGCCCAGAGCTTAAGCAACTCCAATGGACTGCGCTTAGCCGACTTCAACCTGCAATACTTCGTTGCCAATGTTCAGGCCGCCAACTGGAACAAATTCATGGACATCGCAACCAACAACTACTTCAATAGTTTCATCAACTCTTTCTCTCTGCTCTTCACTGAGGAGATTCAGCCTTATGTCAACCCTATGCTTGAGAAATACTTATTGCCCACCATCAATAACCTGCTCTCAAACGTGGACATGACCCAGCTGACTAATTACTTAGCAATGCAAGCTGAGATGTGGAACAGCGCTGACTGCAAGGTTTTGGCTTAGAGTGTTGAACTTTCTATAATGCCGGATAATAATTTAATAAATCGAAATTTGAATGCAAAGAACTTAAACATGCGCTGTTTTATAAAATCATTTAAACTAAATTGTATATTTGGAAATGATACAACATTTGAAGCTATTGTGTTGATTTAATACAATATTCAAATATTATAATAAGGCCAGAGTGATGGATTTACCTCTGGAATTTTCCCAACTTAGATAAGTCAAGTACAATACATGTGGCATAACATTGATTAATAGAAATTGAGGTGCTGAATTTTGAGCCGTTTCATAAATAATGTTAAATCGGTTAAAAATAATATGACAAGATTGTAATATAAGAAATGTATTCACAAGACCATCCATATGTTTTTTCGCAGAGACGTACGAGGCAAAAACCATTTTAGTAAACAAGTCCTTGATGCCAAATCATATCCAAGATATTATTGATTTACTTCTGACATATATATGGGAATTACAAGTCTTAGACAAGCGTTCAAGCTTTTACCTCAAAAAACGTTTCTTAGAACCCGTGACCTTAAAACTCATATATCGTTAGTGAGTGTAAGACGCCGTTATAATTAATTGCAATTGATATTTATTATCTGTTTGTACAGTAAACAAAATTAGCTTCCTCAAGCCTGAGCAATGCATGCGGCATTGTTCCACATCTCAGCTTGCATTGCTAAGTAATTAGTCAGCTGGGTCATATCCACGTTTGAGAGCAGGTTATTGATGGTGGGCACCAAATACTTCTCAAGCATGGGGTTGACATAAGGCTGAATTTCCTCAGTGAACAGCAGAGAGAAGGAGCTAATGAAACTGTTGAAGTAGTTGTTGGCGGCGATGTCCATGAATTTGTCCCAGTTGTCGGCCTGAACATCGGCAACAAAGTATTGCAGGTTGAAGTCGGCTAAGCGCAGTCCATTGGAGGTGCTCAAGCTCTGGGCAAAGGTGTAATCGCCAACGAAACGCCAGTCTGACAGTTTCTTGTTGATCAGAACGCTCTGGCGGATGGGCAAAGGGAGGCCACCAATACCGACTGTTCCCTCAACTTCATAGGAGCCCAGAATCTGCAGCTCTGGGAACAACACGTCAAAGGTGGCGCGGAGGGTGGTGGGATCGTAACTGCCACTCAGCACCTGGAAGTTGTTCAGACCCGAGATGCGGATGTTGCTCACATTGCCAACCAGGTTGGTCTCTCCGTTGTTGTAGTTGAAGGCGTAGAAGTCAGTGGTCAATGGAGCAAGAACTGGAATATTTTCGGAAGGAAAGCCACAGGGAATCATCTTCTTCCAGGCATCAAGGAACATGTCCATGGCCTTGCGATAGCCGACCATGCTCGTGTCCTGGGTCACAGGTGTGGCACTGGCGACGGCCACCAGGAGTGCTAGTAGGAAAGCCTTTGCAATCATGTCGAATGTTTAATTGTAGAAATAACTCTGTGAGGAATTGGTCGTGCTCGTCGAGTTTTATAGTAGAATTGTTATCTATGAAATATTCATAAAGCATTTTGATCGATGGCATTTTAATTGAATTGGTCTTTTTGACATTAAGCTACCTATTTACATTGTATTTTATGACTCAACGCATTAATATACGAGTTATTGATAAATCGATGCCAGACAGATTATTGTGAGTGGATTTATGTTTAATCCTTTGATTCTTTAAATTCGAGTACCGAATTAGAGCATTCAGAAAAAAACAGTACTACGAAAAAAAGAAATCTTAAGGAAAATTGGTTGGCTGCTGATTTCTAATTAAGCTATGATCATTTTAGGAATCAACTTTTTACCTTGTTAGAGGGTATACATATATTCTTGACCAACAAGACTATCTCTCCGTATATGTCGGATCGGATAACTATTTCAAATATCTGCCATAAGAACAATATGTCGAAATATTATTTATTGTATGAAAAACTTTTTGAAATAGACAATTATAGCGTACAACTTTTATATGAATAATCCGTCAGATTTGAAAATTTATAATAAAATTTAGATGACGGTAATTTTACTCCGCTTATGTGTGATTTAGGTGAAATACACACTTGCAACAACTTAAAATTATTTTTTTTATTTAAAAAGTAATAGCTTCTGTGAAAGTGAAGCTATGGAAAAATATTTAAAATGCAAATATTATTTGAAGCTGTCTTCTGCTGTATTACAAACAAGTACAAGTATTAGTATATGCCTAAGTATTGGTTAAGCTGAAAATATACAGGATAATCATCAAATCAAATCTTATTAAAACATAATAGTTAAATAAAAGATAAACATAATAAATAAATAAATTAATAAAAACGAATATCCATAATAGGAACAACAAATGAACCAATAGAAGAATCTTAGAAGGATATTCATAACGCGTGACTCATTTACAAAAAACAACATCTTCAATGAAGTGCTATAAATCAAGTCAGCTTGGCTTGTTGAGTCATACAGTAGATCTTTCTGTTTAATATGATAAGACCTGGTGGAACAAGCGGCCTAAATAACAAAACGACCAATTTAAATGCGATCGATCAAGAGCCACATTAACAATCAGAGATAACAATTCCATTATAAAAGACAACGCGCGCTTCCATTCTTCACATAGTTTCTCCTACAACTAACCAGTCGACATGATTGCAAAGGTATTCCTACTAGCACTCCTGGTGGCCGTCGCCAGTGCCACACCTGTGACCCAGGACACGAGCATGGTCGGCTATCGCAAGGCCATGGACATGTTCCTTGATGCCTGGAAGAAGATGATTCCCTGTGGCTTTCCTTCCGAAAATATTCCAGTTCTTGCTCCATTGACCACTGACTTCTACGCCTTCAACTACAACAACGGAGAGACCAACCTGGTTGGCAATGTGAGCAACATCCGCATCTTGGGTCTGAACAACTTCCAGGTGCTGAGTGGCAGTTACGATCCCACCACCCTCCGCGCCACCTTTGACGTGATGTTCCCAGAGCTGCAGATTTTGGGCTCCTATGAAGTAGAAGGAACAATCGGTGTTGGTGGCCTCCCTTTGCCCATCCGCCAGAGCGTTCTGATCAACAAGAAACTGTCAGACTGGCGTTTCGTTGGCGATTACACCTTTGCCCAGAGCTTAAGCAACTCCAATGGACTGCGCTTAGCCGACTTCAACCTGCAATACTTCGTTGCCAATGTTCAGGCCGCCAACTGGAACAAATTCATGGACATCGCAACCAACAACTACTTCAACAGTTTCATCAACTCTTTCTCTCTGCTCTTCACTGAGGAGATTCAGCCTTATGTCAACCCTATGCTTGAGAAGTCTTTGGTGCCCACCATCAATAACCTGCTCTCAAACGTGGACATGACCCAGCTGACTAATTACTTAGCAATGCAAGCTGAGATGTGGAACAGCGCTGACTGCAAGGTTTTGGCTTAGAGTGTTGAACTTTCTATAATGCCGGATAATAATTTAATAAATCGAAATTTGAATGCAAAGAACTTAAACATGCGCTGTTTTATAAAATCATTTAAACTAAATTGTATATTTGGAAATGATACAACATTTGAAGCTATTGTGTTGCTTTAATACAATATTCAAATATTATAATAAGGCCAGAGTGATGGATTTACCTCTGGAATTTTCCCAACTTAGATAAGTCAAGTACAATACATGTGGCATAACATTGATTAATAGAAATTGAGGTGCTGAATTTTGAGCCGTTTCATAAATAATGTTAAATCGGTTAAAAATAATATGACAAGATTGTAATATAAGAAATGTATTCACAAGACCATCCATATGTTTTTTCGCAGAGACGTACGAGGCAAAAACCATTTTAGTAAACAAGTCCTTGATGCCAAATCATATCCAAGATATTATTTGCTTACTTCTGACATATATATGGGAATTACAAGTCTTAGACAAGCGTTCAAGCTTTTACCTCAAAAAACGTTTCTTAGAACCCGTGACCTTAAAACTCATATATCGTTAGTGAGTGTAAGACGCCGTTATAATTAATTGCAATTGATATTTATTATCTGTTTGTACAGTAAACAAAATTAGCTTCCTCAAGCCTGAGCAATGCATGCGGCATTGTTCCACATCTCAGCTTGCATTGCTAAGTAATTAGTCAGCTGGGTCATGTCCACGTTTGAGAGCAGGTTATTGATGGTGGGCACCAAATACTTCTCAAGCATGGGGTTGACATAAGGCTGAATCTCCTCTGTGAACAGCAGAGAGAAGGAGCTAATGAAACTGTTGAAGTAGTTGTTGGCGGCGATGTCCATGAATTTGTCCCAGTTGTCGGCCTGAACATCGGCAACGAAGTATTGCAGGTTGAAGTCGGCTAAGCGCAGTCCATTGGAGGTGCTCAAGCTCTGGGCAAAGGTGTAATCGCCAACGAAACGCCAGTCTGACAGTTTCTTGTTGATCAGAACGCTCTGGCGGATGGGCAAAGGGAGGCCACCAACACCGATTGTTCCTTCTACTTCATAGGAGCCCAAAATCTGCAGCTCTGGGAACATCACGTCAAAGGTGGCGCGGAGGGTGGTGGGATCGTAACTGCCACTCAGCACCTGGAAGTTGTTCAGACCCAAGATGCGGATGTTGCTCACATTGCCAACCAGGTTGGTCTCTCCGTTGTTGTAGTTGAAGGCGTAGAAGTCAGTGGTCAATGGAGCAAGAACTGGAATATTTTCGGAAGGAAAGCCACAGGGAATCATCTTCTTCCAGGCATCAAGGAACATGTCCATCGCTTCACGATAGCCGACCATGCTCGTGTCTTGAGTCACGGGAGTGGCACTGGCAACGGCCACCAGGAGTGCTAGTAGGAAAACCTTTGCCATCATCTTCGGTAGTGCTAGAAAGAGCTGTGTGAAGAATTGGGAACATGCGATGACTTTTATATTGAATTTGTTATCTATAGATTGTTCATGCGGCACTTTGATTGATTGCAGAGAAATGAAATTGCCACTGCGTTTTGTCAGGTAAGATATTTATTGTGTGATTTATCGACTAAATTTGAAGAACACTCATTCCAAAGAATTTGATACATTTTGATAAATTATTAAATATAACTTAAGGTTTTTTGAAATTTACATTACAAGAAATATGCAATTTAATTTAAATGAAATAAAAAAAAATTTCAATAAATACAATGATGTAAACGAGACTAAATTACCCTGTAAATAGGATTAAGAAGATACTTATATTGATATGTAAATTAACTTCACGATTGCTATAATTCCTATTTTAGGTTTAGGTTTAGGTTGTGTCGGCTGTCAGCCCTATGGGTTGGCAAAAATTTCTCAACTGAACCCTCCACGAGGGGGCCGACTGGTAATCGCATCACAGCGGTCCTGCAAGGTACCGATGCTAGCTAAGACTCGTTCCTATTTTAGATATTATTAAATTTGTATTGTTATTATTGAAAAGTACAACAAATAAGTTAAAGTAAGGTAAGTTTTACGGTAGCTGTGCCATGTCGTATTTCAAAAGCTTTTTGAGACTATCATCACAACTTTAAATATGTCTTATAAAGATCCCCAAAATATATAGTTAAAGTACTACCAAAATTTAAAGTATTTCCAAATAAATCAACATGAAACCACAGTACACAATCAGTTGAGTCATTTTCACATCGTCTTTGTTGGAATTAAGTCCTCTAAGCCGAACAAACGTATTGGGTTGACTCATACACAAAATCGATTAAATTAATCTGATAAGACCTTATGCAACATGGTGCCTTAAAGCCAAAACGACCAATTTAAATGCGATCGATCAAGAGCCACATTAACAATCAGAGATAACAATTCCATTATAAAAGACAACGCGCGCTTCCATTCTTCACATAGTTTCTCCTACAACTAACCAGTCGACATGATTGCAAAGGTATTCCTACTAGCACTCCTGGTGGCCGTCGCCAGTGCCACACCTGTGACCCAGGACACGAGCATGGTCGGCTATCGCAAGGCCATGGACATGTTCCTTGATGCCTGGAAGAAGATGATTCCCTGTGGCTTTCCTTCCGAAAATATTCCAGTTCTTGCTCCATTGACCACTGACTTCTACGCCTTCAACTACAACAACGGAGAGACCAACCTGGTTGGCAATGTGAGCAACATCCGCATCTTGGGTCTGAACAACTTCCAGGTGCTGAGTGGCAGTTACGATCCCACCACCCTCCGCGCCACCTTTGACGTGATGTTCCCAGAGCTGCAGATTTTGGGCTCCTATGAAGTTGAGGGAACAGTCGGTATTGGTGGCCTCCCTTTGCCCATCCGCCAGAGCGTTCTGATCAACAAGAAACTGTCAGACTGGCGTTTCGTTGGCGATTACACCTTTGCCCAGAGCTTAAGCAACTCCAATGGACTGCGCTTAGCCGACTTCAACCTGCAATACTTCGTTGCCAATGTTCAGGCCGCCAACTGGAACAAATTCATGGACATCGCAACCAACAACTACTTCAACAGTTTCATCAACTCTTTCTCTCTGCTCTTCACTGAGGAGATTCAGCCTTATGTCAACCCTATGCTTGAGAAGTCTTTGGTGCCCACCATCAATAACCTGCTCTCAAACGTGGACATGACCCAGCTGACTAATTACTTAGCAATGCAAGCTGAGATGTGGAACAGCGCTGACTGCAAGGTTTTGGCTTAGAGTGTTGAACTTTCTATAATGCCGGATAATAATTTAATAAATCGAAATTTGAATGCAAAGAACTTAAACATGCGCTGTTTTATAAAATCATTTAAACTAAATTGTATATTTGGAAATGATACAACATTTGAAGCTATTGTGTTGCTTTAATACAATATTCAAATATTATAATAAGGCCAGAGTGATGGATTTACCTCTGGAATTTTCCCAACTTAGATAAGTCAAGTACAATACATGTGGCATAACATTGATTAATAGAAATTGAGGTGCTGAATTTTGAGCCGTTTCATAAATAATGTTAAATCGGTTAAAAATAATATGACAAGATTGTAATATAAGAAATGTATTCACAAGACCATCCATATGTTTTTTCGCAGAGACGTACGAGGCAAAAACCATTTTAGTAAACAAGTCCTTGATGCCAAATCATATCCAAGATATTATTTGCTTACTTCTGACATATATATGGGAATTACAAGTCTTAGACAAGCGTTCAAGCTTTTACCTCAAAAAACGTTTCTTAGAACCCGTGACCTTAAAACTCATATATCGTTAGTGAGTGTAAGACGCCGTTATAATTAATTGCAATTGATATTTATTATCTGTTTGTACAGTAAACAAAATTAGCTTCCTCAAGCCTGAGCAATGCATGCGGCATTGTTCCACATCTCAGCTTGCATTGCTAAGTAATTAGTCAGCTGGGTCATGTCCACGTTTGAGAGCAGGTTATTGATGGTGGGCACCAAATACTTCTCAAGCATGGGGTTGACATAAGGCTGAATCTCCTCTGTGAACAGCAGAGAGAAGGAGCTAATGAAACTGTTGAAGTAGTTGTTGGCGGCGATGTCCATGAATTTGTCCCAGTTGTCGGCCTGAACATCGGCAACGAAGTATTGCAGGTTGAAGTCGGCTAAGCGCAGTCCATTGGAGGTGCTCAAGCTCTGGGCAAAGGTGTAATCGCCAACGAAACGCCAGTCTGACAGTTTCTTGTTGATCAGAACGCTCTGGCGGATGGGCAAAGGGAGGCCACCAACACCGATTGTTCCTTCTACTTCATAGGAGCCCAAAATCTGCAGCTCTGGGAACATCACGTCAAAGGTGGCGCGGAGGGTGGTGGGATCGTAACTGCCACTCAGCACCTGGAAGTTGTTCAGACCCGAGATGCGGATGTTGCTCACATTGCCAACCAGGTTGGTCTCTCCGTTGTTGTAGTTGAAGGCGTAGAAGTCAGTGGTCAATGGAGCAAGAACTGGAATATTTTCGGAAGGAAAGCCACAGGGAATCATCTTCTTCCAGGCATCAAGGAACATGTCCATCGCTTCACGATAGCCGACCATGCTCGTGTCTTGAGTCACGGGAGTGGCACTGGCAACGGCCACCAGGAGTGCTAGTAGGAAAACCTTTGCCATCATCTTCGGTAGTGCTAGAAAGAGCTGTGTGAAGAATTGGGAACATGCGATGACTTTTATATTGAATTTGTTATCTATAGATTGTTCATGCGGCACTTTGATTGATTGCAGAGAAATGAAATTGCCACTGCGTTTTGTCAGGTAAGATATTTATTGTGTGATTTATCGACTAAATTTGAAGAACACTCATTCCAAAGAATTTGATACATTTTGATAAATTATTAAATATAACTTAAGGTTTTTTGAAATTTACATTACAAGAAAAATGCAATTTAATTTAAATGAAATAAAAAAAAATTTCAATAAATACAATGATGTAAACGAGACTAAATTACCCTGTAAATAGGATTAAGAAGATACTTATATTGATATGTAAATTAACTTCACGATTGCTATAATTCCTATTTTAGGTTTAGGTTTAGGTTGTGTCGGCTGTCAGCCCTATGGGTTGGCAAAAATTTCTCAACTGAACCCTCCACGAGGGGGCCGACTGGTAATCGCATCACAGCGGTCCTGCAAGGTACCGATGCTAGCTAAGACTCGTTCCTATTTTATATATTATTAAATTTGTATTGTTATTATTGAAAAGTACAACAAATAAGTTAAAGTAAGGTAAGTTTTACGGTAGCTGTGCCATGTCGTATTTCAAAAGCTTTTTGAGACTATCATCACAACTTTAAATATGTCTTATAAAGATCCCCAAAATATATAGTTAAAGTACTACCAAAATTTAAAGTATTTCCAAATAAATCAACATGAAACCACAGTACACAATCAGTTGAGTCATTTTCACATCGTCTTTGTTGGAATTAAGTCCTCTAAGCCGAACAAACGTATTGGGTTGACTCATACACAAAATCGATTAAATTAATCTGATAAGACCTTATGCAACATGGTGCCTTAAAGCCAAAACGGCCAATTTAAATGCGATCGATCAAGAGCCACATTAACAATCAGAGATAACAATTCCATTATAAAAGACAACGCGCGCTTCCATTCTTCACATAGTTTCTCCTACAACTAACCAGTCGACATGGTTGCAAAGGTATTCCTACTAACTCTCCTGGTGGCCGTCGCCAGTGCCACATCCGTGACCCAGGACACGAGCATGGTCGGCTATCGCAAGGCCATGGACATGTTCCTTGATGCCTGGAAGAAGATGATGCCGTGTGGCTTTCCTTCGCAAAATATTCCAGTTCTTGCTCCACTGAAAGTCGATTTCTACGCGTTCAACTACGTCAACGGAGAGACCAACCTGGCTGGCAATGTGAGCAACATCCGCATCTCGGGTCTGAACAACTTCCATGTGCTGAGTGGCAGCTACGATCCCAACACCCTCCACGCCACCTTTGACCTGATGTACCCGGAGATTCAGATCTTGGGTTCCTATGAAGTGGAGGGAACAATCGGTATTGGTGGCTTCCCTATGCCCATCCGCCAGAGCGTTCTGATCAACAAGAAACTGTCAGACTGGCGTTACGTTGGCGATTACACCTTTGCCCAGAGCTTAAACAACTCCAATGGACTGCGCATAGCCGACTTCAACCTGCAATACTTCGTTGCCGATGTTCAGGCCGACAACTGGGACAAATTCATGGACATCGCCGCCAACAACTACTTCAACAGTTTCATTAGCTCCTTCTCTCTGCTGTTCACTGAGGAAATTCAGCCTTATGTCAACTCCCTATATGAGAAGTACACGTTACCCGTGCTCAATGACCTGCTCTCCAATATGGACATGACCCAGCTGACCGATTATCTCCTTATGCAAGCCGAGATGTGGAGCAACGCCGTCTGCACTGTTAAGGCTTAAAAATTTCGACATTTATGAAGTTCTTTATGCATATATGCAAAATAAATATCAAAAGCAAATAATAAAACTCATCTTTTTATTAACTCTAGGATCATATAAGCAAGCAAAGAGTCTGGTATGCAATTATCGACATGTCAACTCATAAATCTTGTAATTGGGAGACAAACTTAATAAGTTAATAATAGGTCGCATCGTAAGAATATATTTTAGAATTGTATATAAGAGTTTTAAATTAATTAACAAAACAAATCTTTGTCATATTGTATGCAAGTAACTTACCAACTTATTTATTTTACACTTAGAACCATTTGTTTACAAATAGATGTTTTGTTTAAGTTTGTTTGGATTTACATTTGACCATCATAAATTTGTATGTACACCTGTACATCTTCTATATTAACTATTTGTTCAAGATACAGATTGTATTTATTATTATTAAGCAACGTAGTACAAGAATACCTTTTTTGTTTTGCCTAAAGGTATGCACTTCGAATTTTGACAGTACTTTGAAAATCGTAGTAGATCGAATAATATTAGTAAATCGATTGCTCAAATTAATGCGAAGTTATTGAGTTAGCAGTCATTTATTTTTACAATGCCAATAAACTTGTTACAAAGCTGAAAATGAATACAAATTAACAAGTATAACTATCTACTTTTATTACATATTAAAGTTGTCCATGACCAAATGGCAACCTGTCAGATCGCTTTTCTAAAGCAACTCGTCGACAGATATAATAAGATTCTGAAAATGTTGTAAAAACATTTTTGTCCTTGAGCATAATTGCAATAAAATGACTTTTACATGGTATCTGCTAGTCAAGCACCTCCAACTTATTCATTTTAAAGTATCAATAGCCGATTAATTTAAGTGTCAAAAAAAACTTTTGGGAAAAAGGCCGTTTACTTAAGCCAAAAGATAACATTTGCTTGGCCTATCAGTTATACTTACAAGGTAGTTAATATTTCCTAGAAGAACTAAGAATTAACAATATACATTTTCCACGAAATATGATAAATTCAAGGGCGTGCCGAGCTTTTCAAAAAGGGGATAGCTACCAACGTAATACAATACATACATATGTACATATTTACATATGTAAATAGCAACAAAATACAACTTGGTTGAATGTATATTTTGCCAAGAAAATATATATATATTAAAGATCTTTAAGGGATAATTTTTGTCCAAAAACAACAGTAAATGCAATTAACAGCTTTTCTGATTCGAAATATTCCAAATTAGTTGAGAACTTAATTTTCGGAGTTGTGAATCCCAACGAATTTGTAAAAATCGATTTGGACATATGATTCACCACTTCATGTGAAAATTGTTTACAAAAAGACTTTAAGCACCTTTTCCACGAGCTGAAAACGGAAAATTTAAATTGAAATACAATCAATCAAATCCCTATTCGTTATACAGATAAGATATAACTATAAAAGGGCAGCCATGCGAGGCAGTCTTCACAGAGTTCATTTCAGTATCAAGCAAGCAAAATGATAGCTAAGGTTCTCCTTCTGGCCCTCCTAGTGGCAGCCACTAGTGCCTCACCGTTAACCGGCTCGGTGAACTATATTGAGGCATTCGGTACGTTCCTAAGGGCTTTCCAGAAGATGGCACCTTGTGGCTTTGCTCCGTGGAATCTTCCTGTCTTTGAGCCGCTGACCAACGAATTCTCCACCTTCAACTACACCAAAGGCGACACCAGCCTTGTAGGCAATGCCAGCAACATCCGCATCTCGGGCTTGAGCGAGTTCATTGTGTTAAATGGCCAATACGATACCACAACACAGCGCGCCTCCTTTGACGTTATGTTCCCGGAGCTTCAAATTCTCGGCTCTACCGTATTCGACGGCACATTCAGCGTTCTTGGCTTCTCGTTCCCCACGCATCAAAACACTCTGCTCAACGAGCGTTTGGAACAATTGCGTTTTGTGGGTGCATATACATTTGCCCCGAGTCTTACAAATCCCAAAGGACTCCGCATCGTCGACCTCGATCTGCAATTTTATGTGGCTGACGTAAAGATCGACAACTGGGATACTTTGTGGTCTATTGCAACCAACACTTTTTATGATCGCTGGTCCAGCGAGCTAATTTCATTGTTTGTCAAGGAGATCCAACCCAGTGTTGATCAACTATTGGCTGACTATGTGGTGCCCGATATTAACGACTTGCTCTCCAATGTCAGCATGACTGATGTGACCAATTTCTTTATGAACACGGCCAAAGAATGGAACAAGGTCGAATGCGATGTGCACGCTTAAGAAACGAATCACATACGACTTGAATATGTAATAAAAAGCAAAAGTAAAAAATGTAAACGGTTAAATTCGTTAAATTCAAAAAAAAAAAAAAAAGCAATGAATCTGCCATCAATATAGCTTCCAAAATATCTAAATTTGTCCGAATGCTACGTAGAACAGACAAGTCTGATAGTCTTTTTGTTTTTATTCGTCGCTATCTTTGCTGATGTTGCTGTTGCTGTAATCCGCTTAAGTAACTCAGCAGCAAACGGAAACCGGAAATGAAAACCATACAGTGTGTAAAGCGCGTGGTGAGTACGGGAGCTTGGAGATGGCTACGGTCCGGCTGGGCAGGCGACCGACTTCCGTTCTGTGTAACTGTGCATTGCTCGCTTTTTGTCAGAACCTATTGCCTGCCGGCACATGCTCGTCTCCGCGTCCTTGTAGTCGACTCGGGGGGGTGGTCTGAGGTTGATAGGAAGCATGGCTCTTAAGCTGTACCGGAAATGAAGAATTGTTGCTCGAGTCCCAGTGACAATTTCAATGTTCGCTGCTGGCTGACATAACTCCAAGACAGGGCCGCCATGAATCAACCAAAATGTTACGTGCCCTTCTAAAGCTTTTTATTGTTGCTGCTATAGTCAGTTTTAAGTGCTCATAATAGCGCGGTCTAAACAAACAACAAACAGCAAATGGCTTTTTCGTATTGCGGTTTTCCGGCCGCTCTGCTTTATACTCTGCTTATATACACATACATAATACACACTACTGCCATACCGCAGAAGAGATGACGGGTTCATCAAGCAGCCAGTTCCGCCTCCGTCTCCGTCTCCGTCTCCGTCTCTCTTATGTCTGCTGTCTGCCGTTACGGTCCACAGTCTTAGCCACAAGGCCGCTTTCAGGTCCATTGTGCATTAATAAATTATTAGGTAATGTGAAGTGCATAAATTATAATTCCTGTTGGTATCCGGCGCTACAGACACAGCTTGAACCTGCTGCTTTGATGGTATGCACACATTTGGGGCGACTCATTTTGGATATTAATGGGTCAATTTGAATGCTAAGTTTCAAAGACCCCATTAAACATTCAATGAACATTTTCAGTCAAAGTGCCTGCTCCCTTCAAATAATTTGCTTACAATTTTTAAATTAATATTTAATCATTGCTGGATGGTATGTGAAAACATATTGTTATTATTCCATTATTTTAGTTACTTTGCACGCTGAATGTTCAACTGAAAATGATTCTTTTATTCAAATAATCTGCTTGCATTTCTTTCACAATTAGCAATATATGGCAAACATATATATGTATTTACATACATACTTGCCTGCGTTTAAGTGAATGTGTGCATATCTGTGTAAGTATTTTTTTTTTGCCATCTGTTTATTTTATTTATTTTTTCATTTTGTTATTTATTCAATTCATATGCTTCCATTGCTAATCCCGCCGTAATACCTTAGTAGTTTTTAAACATTCACATTAAAAATGCAAATTGATGAAGTACATCATAAATATTTCATAGTTAATTAATTATTCTAAAAGGTGCAACAACGATTACAGTTTAAATAATATGTATATCTCTAATTAATAGATATATATAGATTTATGTTACCCGAGCTATTATAAAAATTGTTAAAAAATTTGTATATAAATAAGTTATACAAATTACACCAAATGTATTAATTAGTCAGACACGGGTTAAATTTAAAATTCAGAAAATGCATAAATATTTATGAATGAATGCTAATCAAACCAATAAAAAACGTAAAATTGATAACACATTTATATTATGCAATACTGATAGTCTCTCGTTGAGATTTTCACATACATCATTTTTATTTATATATATTTTTTTTGTAATATTTGTTAATTTGTCCGTGGCTAAAGCTTTTTCGGTATGGCATTTCGGACACAACCCCAAACTCGGATGAGGATAGTATTATATTAACGTTGTTCCATGAAGGTAGGTGTATTGCTAACAATTATTTATTTTTATTAACTTATTGTAGGTATTTATAACATTTACAAATACAACATTTAATGTTGCGCTTTCGTAACGTATTTGACCATATTCACATTGACTACATCCATAATAATATCATATTTTGCAGGTGTAGACATACATACATACATACATACATACATATATATATATATCTATATATATATATGCATACATACGATTTTGATTCACTCTACAGACTATAAACTTGATCGTTATCATGTTACACGTGGGTTAGTTTAGCAATGCATACATTCCATTCAGTGAACCGATCGATTCTCGATTATGTTCATTAATACAGTATGTACATCTGTACATAAGTTTGATGTAAATATGTATATATGTGAATGTAATGCAAGTGGCGTTAGGTTGATTAGTACTGATTAGCATTAAAGATAAACGTGGGGGATTCTGTGTGGGCTAGGTAACAGCTCATAATACTCTTCACTCATCTAATCGCTAATATTATTAATGTATGTTTTTAATGTATACATTAAACATTAACATTTATCAAATTGAATGCATTTTGGTACCAGACAAAAATGTACTTAAAAAATACAAATGTTCATATATATTTTTTTTTTCTTTATCTTTTTTTTTCTTTTTGTGCAGCTACAGATTCTTTCCGTTTTTTTTTTTTTTGTACAAATACACTTGTATGTGTAGTCATATAAAATGTATTATAAAAATGTTTAAAATTAATTGTGACAAATTCTTGATAAGCTGATTTAGTGGGACATTCATTTTAATATATAAACATTAGCTTTATTTACTTTGTTTTTTAGATATACATACATAAATGCTTTATATTTGCGCTAAATATGTTGGTACGTATTGAAAACATATCCATGTTCACTAATATAAATTTCTTTTTCACATTTATAGACTTATGTCACTATACATAATATTATTATTATTTGAATTGTTCTATATTGTATCCATTTTACCAGTTTGTAATGCACATTTATGTTAATATTTCCTTGCTGTATGTTTTTTTTTTTCATTTTTTTTTCATTTGTGTGATAAAAAACATTCTAACAAACTTATCTAAGTATATATATATAATGTATACATACAGTTACAAATATACTCGTTATAAAAATGCAATTTAAAATATATTTTCAATCGGTTTTCATTATTATTTAACAACACATTTCTGTTGCTATATTATTTTTTTGGGGCACTGAAAACAAATTCGAGCTAATTCCATAATCGCACGTATTATTTAAAAGCCTTAAGAGAAATATATATTATTTTCAAACCGAATTTCGAATCGATCATAAAAGTACATTATTGATAATAATTAAAAACTAGGACAATACAAATCTGCCTTTATTACTAAGCGCCAAAAAAACAATGAAAGGAACTAAAGTGTACACTGTATTTGTATTTCTATTCACATGATCTATGAAATGCTGTCAAAAATATATATCGCTTATACGAATATCAATTTGTTTAAATTATATGTATGCGCTTCTCTGATATACATCTAGCATTTATTTTATAAATATTTAATATATATAAATGTGTATTTACACATATATAGTTTATATAAATTTTCTAGTTAAAAATTGCTTTTCGTATTCGAGTTAAATTTCGTTTCCTCAATTTCGATTCACAAAGCCAATTTGTTACACATTGACGGTATATTCGAGTACATAATCAAACTTGATATCATATAGAGGCTTTATTTGCCCCAACACTGTACCCACACTCCACTCCACTCCACTCCTCTACTCTCCTCTCCTCTCCTCTCCATCTCCATCGTTCTGGAATGTTAAACAATTAAAAATAATCGGCCACACACTTTCCAAATAACCAAACAGACACCAAATGGGTAACAGCTTTTCTATGTGTTTTATGATAAGATTTACGGTTATCAGTTATCTAATAATGCAATTTGCTTTATAGACCACTTATCTATTGCTGAACAATTTATATTGTAATTGCGTAGCTGATATTATATGGCATATAAACAAGCTTTAATATGGACACAAATCGGTAAACGAAAGGTTTCAAATATAGGTTTTTGTAGAAGGTTTCAGTTTCAGTCTAATGAAGTGTTTAAATTACAAATTTGTATGTCAACTTATAACGTAGCTGATATTTCTCATTAAAGTTCAATCCGTTGGAAAGCTTTCAAACTATACATAACTTGAAATTGTGTTGTGGTAACAAATAGTTGTTTGTATATTTTTATTCTTTTTTTTAGTTACATAAACATGTTTGCATTATAATTGTATGTTAATGTATTTATGTGTATTCTTGCATTTAAATAAACATGTTCGTTTTTTTTCTTTTGGAATTTAAATACAAAATGGTTTCCATTTAAAGCTTATAAACCGAGTGGAGCTAAACAAAATGCTGCTTACTGTCATAGATGTATGTATGGCTCTTAACAAAGAATTGAGCGTGTTTTTTTTGTGGGTTTACAATTACAATGGAAAAAATGAAAAAAACAATAACAAAGTTTATTGCATGAGTTTTTGTGCATAATTTCAACTTTTGGAGGCGTTCTTGTTGGTCTGTTATTATTCTTCTTCTTTTGTTGTCGAGGGTTTTATTTTTGTTTTCTGTGTATTTGTTAAACAATTTCACATTTCCAAAAAATTCGTACACTTTTCAGCTTAAATACTATAGATACTAGAACGTATGGCCTACACATATCAATAGCAATACAAAACTATGTACCGTGGCTATGTATTCAAAGTTTACAATCAGAGCTTCCGCATAAACATCGTATGATACAAATGCCTTATTTGTTTTATGTTTTCTTTTTTGTTTTTGTTTTTGTTGTGTGTTTTTTGATATTTATTGAGTTGGACAATAAATCTGGCGCCATTTGGGCGCATGTCTATGGGCCGATCTAAGCCTGCAGTTTTTTTTAGTTGCACACAAAACCATTGGTGGGGCAACGGATTAGGTTTAGGCCTCTGTTTCGGCGCCTTTTAAGCGTAGGCGCGCAAAATCCTCAAAGATAATGTCATCGTCCTGAGCCTCATCGTCGTCCAGCTGTATGAGGTTCGTGGTTGTGGGCACATCCTTTGACGTTTGTGTCGAGGATCCTGCAGCACCAGCATCGACACCATCGCCCAGACTGAGCAGCGGTGCTGCGAGACTGGCGCGCGGCGACCGATCACCCAAAATCGGATGCTCCTCCTCCTCCGGTTTGGGATGCATCAGCGTGAATGGCAGCTCGGCAACCAAATCACCACCCAATAGCGGCGATCCAATCAGTAGCTTCACCTTCACCTTGTAGTGCACCAAAATGCCCAAGCTTTCGCGCTGTGCAGGATTAGTGATGAGCGTGCTAGACGCCAGATTTGTATCCTCGTGCTTAAGCTGTCCATCGAGTGCCAGTCCCCATTTATCTTTGTTGTTCAGCAGTAGGGGACACAGCTCAAAGACCTTGGAGAGCGTAAAACCGGGTCCCACACTGCAACCATCCTCAGATTCTGTTTCAGCCACCACCGACTTGTATTGGGCCGTCGAGAAGAGGCAAATGTCGGCAAACTGGCGAACACAGACCTTGATCTTTTTAACGGTGCGATTTGAATTGTTGGCCACATGCACATTGATCGATATCTTCTCGCCATGATGATACAACTCCTTGTCCAGGCTCGCCTCCAAATGGATTTTATTTGGCTTCATCATGAACTCCTTGCTCACCTCAATCGAGGGCTGCTCGCCGGCCTTGGACGGTGCATACATCACCTTCCTAATTGTCAAACGCACCGAGTTGCGTTTGTGTGGTTTGTCCTCGATGTGCTCGCCTATTGTTAATAGATAAATACATTACACAGCATTAGTAAGAGCTTCCGAGCCGGGTTCAACTTGTTTCAACAATGACGTATTTGCATTATTAATCACATTCACAGGGGGTGTGTCTAACTCTGGTTTTTGGTATGTTTCCTGTGCGTCACTATTCAAGCACAGCTAATTCAGCTTAACCAGATGATGATTCAGTCAAAAACTATCCCTATATGGAATGTGATAAAAATGGACAAGGCATCGCCGTCAATGAGCATTATCTCAGTGCTGGGCAGCTGTTAAACATTTTCAGTTACTCGCCACAATTTGAAAATGATATGCAAATAAATTAAATTCTTTCCATTTGGAGCTCATAAATCGTGAGCCTCTATGGCGGCGGGGGCGTGGTCGGGGGCGGGAAAGGGCATGTGCTTATTGCTTACTGTTTATTTCAAAAAAACATGGCAGCTTCAGCCGAGAGCAGACCAAGCACATTAAATAAACATATCAACAGATGCCAAGTAAATAAAACAAAAAGAAAAAAACCACACAAAATACACAAAAGAAAACAATTATTCTATTCATAGCGAAGCTTTGATGCCCTTGCCACAAATCAACTAAACTCAATTAGTTTTATATACATATGTTGTTGAATATTTTAATTGATTTCAAAATGTTTGACTGAGTTGCAAATTGAAAGAGTTGCACTTGCTGAGAAACTAGCTGTATCTATTGCAATTTAGGTTATTAGTTAATAATGCAATGAAATTGACATATTTGTATTGCTTTTAATGAGTAAAAACAATAATCAATTCCGTTGAGATAAAACGGGCATTAATCAAGAAACAGGCAGACAAGTTGGGTATTATAAGAGATGTAAATGTAAACAAACGATCCGAAATCTGTGCAATAAATATACATAAGTAAATCTTTGTCTAAACACTTTTCAATACTATCACTATTTAAACACTTTTAATGTGCTGGAAAACATGAGTGCAAATTCTAAAATAGCTTGTACATACTTTTAAATATTTATATATATTAATATTTATATATGTATGTACATATGTATATAGAGAGGGTGGCCCGCTGAGGCCCACCCAAATGCCAATTGGCTTAAGTTTGCTTTCAATAATCTTTTTATGGCTGCACACAAATTGGCATGGACGTCGGCATCGGCGGCAGCCTTGTTAGCAGATAAGAATTTCGATGCCGGGCAATAAAACCACAAAAAAAAAAAAATTAACGGACAAAACAAAGCGGCTTCAATACTGAATACACAAGCACACACATGCACACACATGCACACACACACATACATCCGAGTACATAGATAGCAATTTGTGCGCATTAAAAACAACAGTAGAAAATAGGCGCATATCGCTAGCCAAAACGAGACAGCCTCAGGTTGGTTAGAGCAGCGCAGTGAGGAGATCCCAAGTGGGGAAATGCGAATGCGCGTGCGAAACGCAACAACAACAAAAAAAAACAGCGAGCGTAACTTCCCAATAAATCGCTGCTAAATACGCTGTATAAGCATTATTTTTGTAGCGATATTGTCAATTTCGTTCGTTATTGTTGCGAAATGAGTATCAGCACCGAGAGAGAGTGAGCAAGGAAAACGAGAACGAAGCGCAAGACAGCGAATTAGAAAGAATGAAGCAAGCAGAAGAGAGTGTGAGCGGGAGAGAGCGGGATCGGTAATTACGCTTTTGGGTCATTGCTGCTGAATTTTCTTGGTTTTTTTTTTTTTGCTTATTTAAACAGAAAACAAAACAAAAAAGTACCCAGCTGCGTTGAGTTTCCAAGAAGGCATTTATGTAAGTGCTGTTGATGTTGAACAAAAAATGTTGAACGTCAGTGGAGAGAAGTCTAATTAAAACAAGCGACAGCAGCGTTAGCACTAGAGTCGAATTGCTATTAAAAGCGTCGAATTCCAATTAGGTGCGCTGCCGCGCTGCGTCATCAACAAGCATTTACACACACCCAAACATACACATACAAAGAAACAACAATGACATTTTGCGCAGTCGACGCAGTTGGATTAATTAACCCCGCGCGTGACACATGCGCCAACACATAAATACATACATACACATGTACATTGCGCTTATTTTGTTCATAAATTACACAAATATGCAGCATGTCCATGCATATGCACATGTGTGTGTATGTATGACTGTATTTAGGCAAAGCCCATCAATGATTTTGATTTTTCTTAATCACTTTACACACTTTGCGTAAAAATGTACGTAATCGTGACCGATATTATTAATTCCAGTGAGGGAGTAATTCCAATATGGAAATGAAAGCTTATATTTTAATATTAAAATTTGCATTTTACGATTTCGAAGAAAACAAAAGTGACATAAATATTGCCATTTCTCTGATCACTGCTATTCTAGTATTCAATTTACGATTTCGAAGAAAACAAAAATGGCATAAATATTGCCATCTCTCTAATCATTGTTATTCTAGTATTCAATTGCCCCTCCCCTTCCGTTAAGAATACTCACCCACAAACGCCTTCAGCTCGTAATCAACGCCACAGGATTTGCCGACATCGCCTGGCGCCGGCTGCAAGGACACCGATGCTGGACAATAGGGCGGCACTTCAAAGTAAAATGGATGCGCATTCGGCCCGAGTTTCTTGATGAGTCGCTCCTGCAACCGGGTCATGGCTCGTTCCAGTTGCATGGGCGGATAGATTTGTTCGTGCGCCAAATACAGATCCTTGCGGAATGTCAGACCCAGCACATCGAGATCCTCGCGTCCATAGCGAAATGCGGCCAGCACTTGGCCAAACACTTTGCGATCCTTAACATATTCGGGATCAATGAAGACAACACCATCGATGGGATCTACATGCGACACATGATCCACAAAGTCCCGTTTGCCCAAATAGACGGTGATTTTGCCATTCGATGAGCTCTTCTTGAACACACGCGTTGCCTGCCTGCGCGAGCTGGCGTCGCCGCCCATCTCATCGAGTCCGCTAGCGTTGCCGGCTGTTGTGGCCGCATTCGATGTGGTGGCAGCGTTGCCATTCCCGTTCCCATTCCCATTGCCGTTCCCGTTGCCATTCCCGTTGCCATTTCCATTGCCCGTCGCAGCAGATCCGCTTCCGTTTGTGTTTGCGCTCAGTGTGTTCATTGTGTCGTCGTCGCCGTCACCGTCAACGTCGTTCTGGCTTCTGCTGCTACTGTTACAGTCTCTGCTTCTTTCTCTGCTGCTGCTACTGCTTCTGTTGTTGTTGTTGTTGTTGCTGGGGTTGTCGTTTCGCAAACGCTGCGGCTCACTGTGCGCTGCCACTGTTGCTGTTGCTGCTGTTCTTCTGTGTTGTGCTCGCACGCTCTCTCTCTTTGTATTAAGCACCTTTCAATAATAAATATGTGTGCAATTTAATTTTTTTTTATGTATACTTAATGAGCAACAGCGCCACACAACTTCTTCTGTCGCCATCTACCGTTTGCAGTGTTGCCTAGCGCACAAGTGAACTGGTTCTCTTTTTCTCTTAGCCAACACTTGAACATAGCGTTGCCACTTGTGTTTGTGTGTGTGTGTGTGTGTGTGTGTGTGCGTAACGCGGTCACACTTTTTCTCATCTCTTTTCCACGTGCATTTTTGAACAAGTCGCACGCGTTCTTTTGCATTTCAGTGAACATATTTCGTTAATAAAATAAAAAGAAATGGCACTGAAAAAACTAGGAGCAAAGAAGGCCGCCGGCAACAACAAGCGTGGCCCCAAGGCCAAGCAGGTTGTCGAGGAGAAGCCAGCAGAAGAAGTCGAATCCAGTGACGCAGATTCCGATGCCGACGAAGAACAGAATGGCGTCAATTTGGACGATGGCAGCAGCTCCGAGGTGCGTAAAAAAACGATGCAACTAGCAACGAAGCAAAAACCACGTGTTTTTTTCTATCTGCTCTCCAGTCGGAAGGCGCCGCCGCAGACTTGGTGAATTCAGAAGCTGAGGAGGACGATGAGGACGACGATGATGATGATGATGATGAAGTGGAGCCAGGCGAGGTTTCAGTGAGCAAAAATGTTGCCCAGGCAGAGTCGGAAGACGATGATGATGATAATGATCAGGCTGACTCCGATGAGGAGCCCGCCGAAGCACCCATCGAAAAGAACGCTAACGAAACGCCAAAATTATCCAAAAAGGGCGGCATTCCAAAGGTGGCTGTTGCACGAATTCCACAAGATACGCCCAAGGAGCAAATTCTGTTCGTCTCCAATCTGCCCAATGGTAAGTAAATTAAATAATCAGCAATAAACATACATTTTCATCTTATGCTTTTCATCCGAGCAATTGTATGAATTTAAGAAAACAATTGCACTTGCACATAATCAGCTACAGCCACATTCATTCTCACTGCTCATTCGATGCGCAGAGAATACATTGAATGAGATAATTTATAATGTATTATAATATTCTTAACATGGCATACAATTTGACAATTTAGACTACGCTTCTCAATTGTAATCGGCATCAATACTAATCAATTGAAAGATCCTCATAATAAACGTTCACATAATGGTTATAAATCCATTAACCCACCTGCGAGCATCTGCTATTGTTATCGGAATTCGCTTTAAGATCATAAATTAATTAAAATTGTAATTTTACACTTTAATATTAATATTTGTTGTACTCATTTCATTCATTGCAGAATACAAGCACGTCGATCTGGTTGCTCTCTTTACCAAATTCGGTCCCATTGCCGTGGTTAATCGCATCAAGAGTAAGGCTGGCGGCAACAGTGTTTCGATGGCCTTTGAGTCTGCCAAGGCCGTTGATGCGGCACTTGCCGCCAAGGAGAAGGCTCTGACCCTCGATGGGCAGGTGTTGAACGTTGCACGTGCGCACAACAAAGATGACATGAATGCGCGCACAATTGTCGTGGGCTTGATTGGACCCAATGCCACCAAGGATGACATTTTGGCTCACTTTAAGAGCTGTGGCGCCATTGAAGCGGTTACTTTCTCCCACAATAAGATAATGCCCACGGCTTATGTGCGTTTCGCGGCGGTCAGCTCGATACCCAAGGCAGTCAAATTGCACGGCAGCGATTTCAACTCACGTTTCATCACAGTACGCGAAGAGGCGTACAAGAGCAAATCATTGAAAGCACCAGGACTCACATTGACGGTGGCAAACACGGGCAACCACGAGACCTACAAATCGGACACGATTGAGAAGATCTTCAAGAAGCACGGTGAAGTCGTCGATGTCGATGTCGTCTGCACGCGTGCCATTTTATGCTTTGTCACCTACAAAACGGCCGACGAGGCCACGAAGGCGTTCAACAAACTGAATGGCAAAACTATTAGCGAACTGGAGATCAAATTGGACACTTACCACTACAGTTCCTCCGTGCGCACCATTCTCGTAACAAACTTGCATCCCAGTGAGTGTACAAGAGATTTATGTCTGAATTGAATATCATTATGATATTAATCGTTAATTTATCTATTTGCAGGTGTCGATGAGCAGCAGATAAATGATCTGTTCAGTGAAGTCGGTGAGGTGGAGAGCGTTAAGATGCTGGGCCACAAGGCACTTGTCAGGTTTACCACTGATGATGGCTTCTGCAAATCGTTCCTGCTGAACGAGCGCCTGGTGCAGGGTCAGCCCATATTCTTAGAGCCAAACTCCACACTCAAGCACAAGATTATGCAAAACAACAAGGGAAAGTATCATGCTGGTGGTCCACCAGCTGGAGGCAAATTCCAGAAGTTCAACAACAGTGGCAACAACAACAACAAGAACTTTACGCAAAGACCGTTCAACAAACGCCCCGCACAGGCAAATGGCTCCACACCGCAATCATTTAAAAAGGCAAAGCGGGCCTAAATGGCCCAATGTCTTAGTCCTAAGTTTTTAACAATTACCCAATTACCCAGCCCAATGCAGATGCATTGAATTTAGTCATATAAGTGTCTGTGCAAATATATTCAGTTATGATTATTGAATATTTTTCGACATGCAAACCACAAATTGTAAACATTTGTCGGCAAACTCGATTTGCCAACAATTTCGCAGCCGTTTTTATGGCAATGCGTCTCCTCTGCCCAAATACAACAATGTAAAAGCTACGAGAATAAATTGCTAATTTCCAACACGTACAAGCAAAACCTGAATGTTGAATATTGCTGTGGCTGTAGATGTGAATGTGTGTGTGTGTTTCGAGTGTTGGTGTTTAACCACGTCGAGTGCCTGCTGCCGGCACCCTTTAGCAGCACTTGCATCGCCCCTTTGGCGCATGATTCATTACGCTGTCGTCGCTCGAGTGATTCATGCTGGGCCAAGCCAACCGATGCCGCACGCAACCACCTCATTTCTCTTACTCCAACTTGCACAGCAGCGGCGGCGGCAGCGGCGCTCCCACTGCACCACCGTCGTCGTCGTCGTCATCATTGTTCCCGAATCTTAGCTCATTTTTGCCCCCACCTGTCTTGGTTACAATGCAAATGAACAAAGGCGTTGGGTCATCAGTTTGGAGGCGCGCCTTGGGTCAGTAGCCATAACGAGCGCAGTTGATGGCGCCGCTCCTTCCAGCCGCAACTGTCACAATGAGGATAACAAGGCGATAATAATTTTATGGGCTAATTGCAGGCACATACTTAGCTAATTATCCACAATACAATTGTTGTGATCAACAACTTGCTCCACTCCACCATGTAATGAAATGCCAAATGGGAATGCAAATGCGAGTAATTTGTTTTTTGTTTTTAATGCGCTCTTAAAAACCACGACGAAACATTAACTCTTTGAATCTGGATCTCTATCGGATATTTATATATATACTGAATACATTTTTAAAATCATGATGAATTATGATGTTTTAGAATGGATATCTATCCCATATGCATATATAGAAATAATACATTTTTAGATATGTGTAACGGATGGAAGGAGGTACCAACGAAGGAGGTATCTTATGCTCCAGTCTAATCGCCAAAAATATATATAGATCGAGCTGTCATTTTGATTCTATTGTAATAATCAACTTGATTTGGAGTTTAATGAAACACACAGAAAAAAAAACATATCTATATATTGCCATAAATTTGTATGCCTCTTACTGAGCGCAACCTTAAAACAGAATTATTTTGTGACTAATCTCAAAATAGTCATTTAATGAGTGTGTTTCAAAGAGATTTTAATTGTGAACAAATTTTTGAGTTAGGTCACATGCCTGTCACATTTTTTAAGTATATTTTCAATATAATATGAAGCAAACATCCAGTCTATGTAAAAACTAATAAAATATAAAAATAAGAAATATATAAAATAATTGTAGAAGATGATTAACAATCAGATTTATATTATTCCCAGTTAGTCACTTGTAAAATTGTATCTAAAAATAATTTGGACAGCAATGAGAACGACAAATGCAGCCTGCCAAATTAATTCTCGCAGTTTAATGTTGATGATTAATCAGCTTGATTAAACCAATACCTTTACTGGATCATCCAGAGGAGTTTCGTGCATAGCTAAAACCCTTTGTCAATTTTATAACAATCCCAAAGATAAAATGCAATTCTGTGGTAGATTTTGTATATTTAACATTTATTAGTTTGAATTTCTTGCAATATCCGTTCATTTCAGTTTTTTTTTTGTTTTTGTTACTACACGTTCACAATATGTACTTGTTGACTTGATATATATGTGTATGCATTATGTATATGTATGTGTCAATATTTAACGGTATATGATGTACTAAACGTATCCCATGCATATCTTTAATCCGTTTGATTTTCGTGTATACTTTTGGTAATATATGTGTATGTTTGTATGCATATTGATAATATTAGTTTTCACTTAGTATTTTCGTTATAGGTTTTTCGTTAGTATTCATTAAATGTGTGGATAAAGTAGAGCGTGAGTGTGTAGTATCTTCATGTTATCGCCAAAACCCGTCATATCAATTTTTTTTTTATATAAATGTGTAAAAATGTTTTCTTTTTTTTTTTAGATTTGTTCATTATATGCGCTCTATGGCCTAAATGCAGCACAATAATCCGCTCCTACCCTCTGGTGACGTGAGTTACAAGCCAACAACAATGAATCACTCGGATCAGTCTCTCTCTCTTGGTGAGCTTGACTTGGTCCAGTTGTGGATCTGTGGGTCGGTGCCAAGCCAAGCCAAACAAATTGCGGCCGTGAATGTTATTTGCTTTGGTCGATCTTGATTTGGGAGGGGGGTTGTTTGTCAATGCTGAGAGGGTTGGCGGGGCGGGGCGGGGCAAGGCTATGTGTCTGGCTTACAACTCTAGTATTACTCACATTCAGTTTTAACTCTTTTCATATTTGTATGTATTTAGCAATAAACATAATTATAATTTAGCTCGCGCTTTAAGTTAGCAATTTACTTATAATAAGGCAAATGAAAGTGAAGGGCACTGGGGCGGGATTATGCAAACCATTGAAATAACTAACTAAATGCGATTATTATGGTTATTATTATTATTAATATTAATATTATTATTTTTATTATATATGTATGTATGATAATCATAGCATACTATATGTATAACTACTATCGATAGGCCATGCAGACGCATTGTATATTTGATTTATGTGTATAGGCAAAACTTTCAAATCTAGCAACTTAACGACTAAAATGGTTCCATTCGTTTTTTTTTTTTTGTTTTTTGGGGCTCTTTTAAATTGTACAAAAAAGCAGGCAAAATTGGTATCTCAATGCATAATAAGTACATTCAATAAATTCGAATCGTTGACGCTTTTTGGTAACTCTTCCTCCAACTCTCAAGTATATATTTCAAAAAAAGAAAAAACTGTTTTTCAATTAATTGGAATTGGGATAATGGGAATTAAAGCACTTGTTGCAAGTTTAAATCTACTAATACAAAAGAGCAGTAAAAAAATAATAATAAAATAAAAGCCAAATAAAAAGAATTGTATAATGTTGTTTGAGATTTTTTTTTTGTTTTTGTTTTAATTTTTAATTGGTAATATCGTTTAAAACATAAAGTATAGAGTGTGCAAAGTTACATTAAATGTTCTGCATGTGCTTGCTGTTTTTCTTGTTGTTGTTGCTGTTGTTCTCGCTGCATAATTAACAAATTAAAAATTAATAATACAATACAAAATAAGATTGTGTGTTTGTTGGATCAAAAACAGAAAACTAATAGGAATTTTTTGTTTTTTTTTTTTACTTCTCATTTTGTTGTTGTCGCTTTGATGTCGTACGACAATACACTGGTTTAAAGAGCTTCAAAACACCACACTACAAATTTAATGTTCTTAAAATTTTGTTTCTTTTTTCTTTTGTTTCGAGTAAATTGAAGGAACGTATGCTGCGTATACAATATATATATTTATATATATATTTGTGTGTGTGTGTATTGGGAGTGCACTCAGAAGTAGACAATAAAAAAAAGAAACACATTAATCCTATAATAATCAAAATTTTTTTATAGCGCACTGTGGTTCAGACTCCATCGTTTTTCTTCGTAGCCAAAATGTTTGCCAGCTGCGCAACTTGTTTTTTTTTTTAATGTCATTTTTGTTATTTTTTTTTCCTTTTTTGTTTCTTGGATTAGTTTTGATTTGAAGTATTACGTGTTAGAATGCCAACTACAAGCTACTTTTAATGTTGTTTTTTTTTTTGTTTTTTTTTTTTTAAATATTTTTTCGTTTTTTTGCTACACGTACACCTCATTTTCTTGCATGGGTTTTACAATTTAATTTCTTTCTTTCTTTTTTTTTTTGTTCGTTATTTTATGATCTCTGACATATTTGGGTGTTTTTATCTTCTTCTTTTATTGTTGTATAAAACACGTAAATTTGTTGTTAATGTTCTCGTTTTGTTTTCTTTCGTTTTTTGCGCTCCAAAGATTCTTTCTCGATTTGAACTTAAATAGACACATTAAAAATTTCGTTTAATACATGAGCAAAAATAACAGAGCGTGAGGAACAATTATTGTATATATATATATATATTAAAATTACAAAATGAAACCTAAAAATATATATAAATGAGCAAAAGAAGCGAGCACACAAATTGTTAAACCTTTTACAATAAAAAGAATAGCACAAAACACTAACTTTTGGGACTGCAAAGATCGCAATTGTTTTCCAGCAAATTGCTGCTTGATGGATCGTGCTGATTTTGATGTTCATGTCGATGTCGATGATGACGATGATGATGATGATGGTAATGATATTGATTGATGCTTGGAAACGGGGGGAGGAGGCCTATCAAAAAACAAAAGTGGACGCTCCACTGAGCCACAACTTCGAAGGGGGGCTTTGGGGAGAGTTTGCATTTATCTTCTTTCTTTCTTTCTTTCATTTTTTATATTTTCGTTTGTTTGTTCGCTTTTCACGCGCAAAATACTTGTTCATAATATGTTTATAATATTAGTAAAGTAGTTTTCAGTTTGTTCTCCACTTAACACATCAACTTGATTCTCTTCAGCGCTTTAGAAATCCAGCAGTGCGACCTCAGCGATATTTTGCTGCTGCTGCTGCTGCTGCTGTTGCAAATCCTCAACATTGGGCAGCGCCTCTTGCGCCGTCTCGAGAGCATGTCCGTTGCCATTCTGGCTAATTGCCGGCTCCACCAGCTTGCCGCCATCGAGGCCATTTCCAGCAACAGCTGCATCATCAGCTGTTGGCTGTTTAGTTGCCTCAGCTACTGCTGCTGCTTCTGCTGCTGCTTCTGCTGCTGCTGGTGCTGGTGCTGTTGCCTTGATTGGCCGCTTGATAGCTGCCGGTGACGGTGTTGTTTTGACAGCGGCTTCTTTGGCTTTCGGTTTCAGCGGCGAGCCGACGGCGCTCTTCAACGGCGACGTCTTGCGTTGTGCTGGGGCGCCACCAGCTGATCCAGCAGTAGCCGACAGCAGCGAACGACGCGCACCACCTGGTTGGGTCGATGAGTGTGTCGATTTGGGCGCTGGACGCGCTGTAAAAGTCTTTGTAGTGGTTGTCGTTGTTGTTGATGTGGTTGTTGTCGATGTTGTATTGCTGCTGCTGCTGCCGTTGGCTGTGGCCGACTTGACACGAGTGCTGGTGGTGGTTGTGGCGCTCTTGGCCACACCATTGCCCAGCAGCGGCTTGTTGGGACTGCGTGCCCCAGTTGCGGAAGTGGTAGCGGTGCCACCAGTAGACAATGCCGTCTTGCGCAGCGTCGACGGCACAGCGCTGCGCGGAGAGATCATCTTCGGCTTGGCGGCAGCTGTGGTGCCAGTGCTGTTGGCGCTTGTGGTGCTCGGCTTGCTGGCGGCACTCAGCAGCAAGCGTGACTTGACACCTGTTGTTGTTGCCCCATTGGTTGCTGCTGCCGGCTTGCGGGCTGTACTGGCGGTTGTGGCGCAACGTGCAGCAGCGCCAGTTGCCGGCTGCTTGCTGGCAACGCCTCGGCTAATTGGAGCTGTGGCCGGGCGTGTGCTTGCCGTGCTGCCGCTGGTTGTTGTGGTTGTTGTTCGAGATGCCGGCTTGGCAGATGTATTGCTGGCGCTGAGCGGTTTCCGTGCCGCGCCAGTTGCTGTCTTGGCAGCCGTTGCTGTTGTTGTTGTTGCTCCTCCTGCTTTGGCAACGGGTGCTGTGCGTGGACGAGCAGCGGTCATTTTAGGTGGTGCTGCTGCTGCTGTTGTTGTTGTGCTGCTCCTCTTGGCTGTGGCGGTCGGCGATGGCCTGGGCTTGGCAGCTGCTCCTGATGTGGTTGTAGTTGTTGATGTCCTGGCAGCCGTTAGCTTTTTGGCTGCAGGCTCATTGGAGCTGCTCTTAATCTTGGGCTTGGTTGCAACAGTGCCGACAGCAGCTGCAGCTGTGGCAATCGCAGCCGTGGCAGCCACAGCAGCAGCAGCAACGACAACAGGCGCCACCTCCTGATCCTCTTGAACTGGCGGCGGCGGCGACGATGGCGTCTCAACAACATCAGGCACGCCACTCAGCTCAGTAAGCGCTTCCTTTGGCTCAGCGAGCGTCTCGTTTTGCAGCAGAGGCTCAGCGATTTGCTCCACAATTGGCGGCTGCTGCTGGGCCTCCTCCACTAGCGGCTCAGCCTTGGGCTGCTGCTCGTTGACTAGCGGCTCCGGCTCCGGCTCTGGCTCGGGTGTCTCGTTGCTGGCGAGGAGACCGTTTGTGTAGGGTGCGGCATCAGCGTTGAGGAGCTGATGGGCATGATGGGACACCTCCTCGATGAGTTCATCCTGCATTTGCAGTTCGTTGTAGTTTTCTTGTGCATTCTGATTCAAAGCTGACTCCTCCAATGTATGCGGCGGCTCCTGCTGCTGGAAGTTTAAAAACTCAACCATCTGGGGTTCCTGGAAGATATGATCCTGTTGCTGCTTCTCCTCTTGGAAGATTTGCTCCTGATGCTGCTGTTCCTGTGGGAAGATCTGCTCCTCAGGTTGTTCCTTCTGCTGCTGCTTCTCCTGGAAATGCTCCTGCTCCTCCTGGAAGTGCTGCTGCTCCTCAGGTTGTTCCTTCTGCTGCTGCTTCTCCTGGAAATGCTGCTGCTCCTCCTGGAAGTGCTGCTGCTCCTCTTGGAAGTGCTGCTGCTCCTCCTGGAAGTGCTGCTGCTCCTCCTGGAAGTGCTGCTGCTCCTCCTGGAAATGCTGCTGCGCTTCCTGGAAATGCTGCTGCTCCTCCTGGAAGTGCTGCTGCTCCTCCTGGAGATGCTGCTGCTCCTCCACGAAGGGCTTGCTCTCCTCCTGGAATTGCTCCTGCTGCTGCTCCTCCACGAAGGGCTTGCTCTCCTCCTGGAATTGCTGCTGCTGCTCCTCCTCCTCCTGCTGCTGCTCCTCCTCCTCCTGGAAATGCTGCTGCTGCTGCTGCTCCTCCTGGAAGAGCTGCTGCTGCGGCTGCTTGTGCATTACCTCATCCTCCATCTCATTGGCAATGTGCGCATCAGTTTTTGGCTGCACATCCAACAAATCAAACTCCCGCTCTGTGGCAAATGGATTGCTGGTCACAGGCAGCTTCTCCTCGTTGTTGTGGACACCATGGTCGGTAGCTGCATCAAAGTCAGCATACTCCACCTGCGAGAAATGAACAGAATGTTATAAAAACATAAATATAAAATATACATACTAATCTAATTTAGATATGCATGAATGAAATGCTTTGATTTGAAAGCTCAATAATTGATTTTTTTAGATCAGTTTTTTAAATCGACCCATTATAAATTCCATGAAATCAAGACAAGTGCAGTCAGTTGGGGCAGTCAAATGGATTAAAAAGTAATGAATGCAACGTTACTGTGATTATCATCAATGCGTTACAGATGCTATGTCCAAATTGAATAGCAATCTATATATATACATATATATATATATATATGGGCGACTGCTAAAAGCTCTTAAGCCATCTTAACACAGCAATTGGACGCATCATGTACAATGTGTTTGAAATGTTAATACCCCGTCCACAAAAGCAGCTGATGACGATTATGATAATGATAATGATGATGGCGATGACTAACAACAATATGCCGAAAAACAAAAGGCACTCTAAGCAATATCAACAACAACAACAACATTTGTACTCTGTCTGGCTGTCGTCTTCTGCTTTACGCACAACAGACAATGTTCACATCGTCATCTTGCCACTTGCCACACCCCCACCCCCTGCCGCAGCCCCTGCGTTGCTCCCTGTTAAATCGATAAATGCAATGAGCCGGCACATGGAGCTGGTTGCTGGCTTGGCTTGGGATTTGGCGGCGTTACTGCAGACATCTTTATATATTTTTTTTTGGGGGCGCGCGAGCAAAGTTCGTTGGAAAAAATATGGTAAAGATTTTGTATAGCTTTTTTTTTTGTTTTTTTTGCCTTTTCTTTTTTAGTGTGTTTGCAATTGTGCGTCAAGAAAATGTTACTTATGGTGTTATATGTTATAGCCCGAGTCTTTTCTTGCCCCCCTCAGCACTGTCTGTCTGTCAGTCTTGTCTCCTCCACCAAACTGAACTGAACTCTGAGTGCAGCAAGCTGTAAAAATAGCAGCGACCACAAAGTACAAGTGTAAGTATTATATATATATACATATCTTTATATGTATGTATGTATGCATATGCCAGGAAAGGGCAGGGCAGGCCAGGCCAGAGTACAAGTATTTATGGGTGGCAGCCAGGCCAGCAGTGAAAATAAATCACCCAGCCGATGAATTTCCAGCGAAACAAACGAAAGATTCGTTTTGCATTCACATAAGATGACTAAGGAAACAAGATGTGTACACAATATATATATATATATGTGCTATATTCCCCTATATTAAACCAAAGTGTGTCATTTATTAAATATATACATTTTGGCTCAATATGGTTAACAAAATTTGTGTTTATCATAAGATTGTAATGAATTTCTTACAGTTGATAAAAAAAATGACGGGATATATAATATATCAAGTGTAGTGCTATATCTTTAAACTTGATTTATTTTCTTTCTTTTATGGCTATCGGAAATCGATTTGTTTCAATATTCGGCAAAAGGGATCGTTATCGAAAAATCAAATAAACTTAATCGGCTTATTTTACTTGCTACTGTACTCATTTTCAAAATTTGATGTCATTTGCCCTTATAAGATTATATATTTTCCTATTTTAATGTGTTCCGGTTATACAAATTGTATAAATACTTAAATTCAAATCAACCCCTTTAATTAAACAATTACAAACATAATGAATAAAGAGAAATGCTTGTCAATAATGTTAAGACAGGGTCAGGGTCACATTTCCTAAAGTGTTGCATGGCATAAACATAAAGTAATTGACACCCAACCCTGAGAAGCAATTTGAGTTGTTGCAAGTATGTATGCCGCCCCATGTACATTGTATATTGTGGGCGACGCCATAAAGCATGCTATGGAAATGGAAAATGTTCTAGTTGTGGGTGTGGTGAAGAGAGTGTTAAGTGTCGTCGGTTGCAACATCCCCCAATTAAGCACGAACTGTGCACAACAACACCAGATTCTGCTCCCCGTCAGCTGTCTGTCTGCATTTGTATTTGCCGGCTGTGTGTGTATTTGCGAGGGTTGCACACACACACACACAAACACACACACACACATATATATATATAAATGTATATGTAACTAACTCGAATTACTAATGCATACAAATTATGATAATGACATCAGCAGCCGCAGCTGCAGCAACGAACTTGTGAAAGTAAATGGGAAAGCAGCTAGCACACACATACACACATACTAACATACACACACTCACTTACATACATACATATTTTTAGCTAGTCTGGCAATGTCATGACAGTTGCTGCCATTGGGCAAGCGAAGCAGCAACCACAACAACAGCGAAATAAGACTACAGCAAAACAGTGTTGACATACAGCGAAAAGAAATAAAAATGAGAAAAAAGCATGTCAGATGACAGGAAACGTGTCGCTGACTTAAGAGTAGCTCGCACTGTGTACGCTGTGTGACTCGACTTGGCATTAGTTTCGGCGCTGTCCAACACCAAGCACAAAATGTAGCGCCAACTATATATTTTTTTTTTCGCCTCAACATTTTTCTTCTAGTACGCAACGCAAGACCGCAGTCAAAGTCCCCCTGAGCGTCGCAGTCAGCGTTGCGGTCGCTTGTCGCAGCCACCGTCGCATTTGTTAGTCGCTTTAAAATGTCATTGACCAGCAAATGCCAAAGTGCCGGGGCCGCTGTTGTTGCCGCTGCTGCTGCTGCTGCTGCCGGTGTTTTGTCGGTTTTTATTTTTTTTTTGCTGCCCACTTTTGGCCCACTCGCGCTCAATTGCTGGCTTTCTTTTGTTGCTCAAGCGTAATGGGGCTAAAAGTGAGCTGAAGCCGAAAAAGTTGAAATCAAAATGAAAATGAAGTAGAAGTAGAAGGAAACATAATAAAAAGTGAACCGCTTAAATATCGCAGCTTAGTCAGCTTAGTCAGCGACTGATGACTCATCGTCAGCGCAAGGCTCGATGACTTTGGTTAATTAATCAGTGGTTGGTCTTCTAGTTATGCAATGCCAATTTGTCATTTATAAATAACATGAATTTAACACTCTGCACCTCTGGCACCTCTGCCTTCTCGCCGTCTCCCTCTCTCACTCTCTCTCTCTTGACCGGCGATAATTGTTTGGCATTTTATCAAGCAAAATATGCGTCAGCATCGAACGTGCTGGCAACGCTGTGCTGCTTCTGCCGCCGCGAGCATTGCCGGCCGGTCTGCTTGCAAATAAATAATCGTCTCTTGACTTGTTTTGGCTCTTTGTGCAAAAAACACTTTTTGCAAAACGATGATGATTGTATTTGCGCGTACAGATTTGAGTGTGTTTGCAGTTAGGTTTCAAATTTAAGTGCATGACTTTTTATTGTTGCTATTATTGACAAATGATTTTGACACTTAAGACGAATAAGCGGCGCCAAGCAAAACATGCCAGCAGCAGCAGATACAACAATAGACGCAACTTGTTCAATGAAAACGACGTCGCTGCTGCTGCTGGTGGGTGACTGATACAAGATCTGTGTGTGTGTGTTGATTTTTTTGTGGTTGACTTTTGCCCAAAGAAACGAAAAAAATTAAGAAAAATAAAAACCAAGCAAAACAAAACGCAACGATGACATCAACATTTTCAGTCTCCACATCTCACACACACACACACACACACACACACAAGCAAACACACTCACGGTGAATTTTAATGTTAATGATAATTGCGAAAAGTGCGCAGCAAAAGAAATTGCACGAACATTGCCAGCGTTGACGTCAACTCTGGCCAGCGCAGAGAAAGAGACCAAAAAAAAAAAAAAAGAATTTAAATAAACAACAAAAAAGAGAAAGAGAAATACAGAACAAACGAGGAAGATCAGCATCAAGCTGTGGGGAGAGTTGCGCTTCTGATTGTTCTTGTTTTTGTTTTTTGTTGTTGTTTTTTTCGTGTGCGACCGTGCAAATTTGCTGAAAATCAGAAAGAACAAAATGTGCCATAAACAACAACAATTACAGCAATAAGAGCAGCAGCAGCCAACAACAACAGCAAAACACAAATCAAGTTCAACAGATGGCGCAGCGAATTTTCAGCAATTCGGCTGTGCCGGGTCAGGGGCAGGTGGGCCTTGCGGGCTAGACGGGGAGGTACTGGGTTCACTCACTATAAATTTTCAAACGAATCCAAAATGGCACGCAAAAACCCGCAAAGACAATTTATAAAGTCGCACAAATCACTTGTATTGAGTCGTTGTCGTCTCACATGGCTCGTTAGATAGCCAAAACTGGGCAGGCGACAAAAGACAGGGGGGGACAGGGAGACAGACGGCGGGCGACTGTTGCCATTAAACGCATACAAATATGGCATACAGTTGAGTTGTTGGCAGGCTGGCAGCGGGCTCTAACTGTTTTTGGCCAAACGCACACTTCCAATATATGCACAATACATATGTGCAAACATAGAAAACCCTAATAACAATAACAATAAAACAGCTAAATGCTCAATAATGCGTAGAGCAGAGCAAGAGACAAGCGAAAAAAAAATATTATATATGAGAGAAGGCGCGCAATGACTAAGCACGCGTTGGGCGGTGGCAAAGAAAGACAGGCAAAGACCGCAGCACAGCTATAAAATACAATGCCAAATTAAGCAGCGACACCAAAAATATTTCTCTTCTCATAGAGACAAATACACACACACACACACACACAGACACATAGCCATGCAAATAAAATGATGTGTGTCTATGTAATTTCTATTTTTAAATGTTTGGCCACACTCGATGTGAGTGACACATGCACAGAAGCCGAAAAACAAAAAAAAAAGTATTGCACTCTCTTTTTTCTCTCTGCTGCTGCTGCTGCTTAACTGTGCAATAATAATACAACTAATAATCACTGTTACTGTTACTATAACTGTTACTCTTTGCACATAATGCTAATGATGTTGAAATTGTATGGTGTGTGTGTGTGTGTGGGCCACATGCAACAGCAGCACGCAACATGTTGCCAATGTCGGCAGGCAGCAGTACTAGTCAGTCTGGCTTTATGGTTTTGTTTTCTGTTGTTTCTTTATTATTATTATTTTTATT